TACTTTATCCTTTTCCATTTATGATAAAATTAGCCTAGCTATTCCCTAAATATTTAGAAACATGTGAGGCACAACTTTTGTTTCAACTGTCAAACAGGAAAAAGAAAGCCTATTGTTTTGACTCTTATTTTTGCTTATCATATTATTTCTTCCTTCCTGATGCTCTAAGGTTCATTTTTTTATTGTTTAATTTCTGTTTCAAGAACTTCTATAGCTGTTTTTTTGTTTGTTTGTTTGCGGGGGCGGGGGCAGTCTGCTATTGACAAATTCGCTTAGTTTCCTTTTATCTAAGAATGTCCTAATTTTAGCCAGGCCTGGTGGTGCATACCTGTAATCACCATGACTCAAGAGGCGAGGCAGGAAGGTAACAAGTTCAAGGCCAGCCTCAGCAACTTAGTAAGACCCTGTCTCAAAGATAAAAAGGACTGAAGATGGAGCTCAGTGGTAGAATGCTACTGGGTTTGAACCCCAATACTTGGGGAAAAACACACAAAAGAATGTTTTTGTGAAAAAGATGTTTTTGTTGGATATAGGACTCTGGGTTGACAGCATTTGTATTTCAACACCTGAAATTTCTGTGCTACTTCCTTCTACTCTTTGGTTTATAGAAACAAATCCACTTTTATTCTGATTGTTTTACTACTATAGGTGAGGTGTTGATTTTCTCTGCTTTTAAGACATATTTCTGTCTTTAGTTTTTAAAAGTATAATTAGGATGTGTCTTGGCATGCATTTCTTTGAGTTTGTTCTGTTTGGAATTCATTTAGCTTCAAGAATCTATTTATGTGTCTTTCCAAATTTGGACATTTTCAATTATTATTATCTTGAATACTTGTTCAAACCACCTTCTTTCTCGTCTCCTTCCATAACCCCTATAATCTCATGGATTTCTGAGGCTCTGTTCATTTTTTTCCATTCTACTTTCTCTGTTCTTCAGATTAGATTATTTCTATAATTCTGTTTTCCAGTTCACTGATTACTTCTTCTGTCCCCTTCATTCCGCTGTTGAGACTATTCACTGAGCTTTTAAAATTTTGGTTATTGTACCTTTCAGTCCTAAAATGTCCATTTGCTGCTTCTTTATATCTTCTACTTATTTTCCATCTGCTTGCTGAGGCTGTCCATGTTTTAACAAGCCTATTCATCATTATTTATTGAAACAAATTTTATAATGGCTTCTTTAAAATTCTTATAAATATTTCTAATATTGATACCTTGTTGTTGGCATCTTTTGGTTTTTTTAAAATATTTTAAAATATTTTTAGTTGTTGATGGACCTTTATTTTTATTTATTTGTATGTGGTGCTGAGAATCGAACCTAGTGCCTCACGCCTGCTAGGCAAGTGCGCTACTACTGAGCCACAACCCCAGCCCCATCTTTTGTGTTTTAAAATTTATTTTGATATCTTTCTGGCTTCTGGTATGATGAGTGATTTTTTTTCCCAGTTGAAATCTATACATTTTCAATATTATGGGTCTCTGGATTTCTATTTTTTATTTTTTGGCAGTACTAGGAATGGAACCTGGGGCCTCATACATGCTATGCAAGTGCTCCACCAATAAACTGCATCCCAAGCCCCTTTTAAATTTTTTTTTTTTTTTAATCTTGAGCCTGGGTCTTCCTAAGTTGCTCAGGTTGGCCTCCAACTTGTAATCCTCCTGTCAGCCTCCCGAGTCACTGGAATTACAGGCGAGTGACACTTATGCCTGGCTTGTAGGTTTCTTTTTTTCCTTTTTTAAATTGAAGTCTGGGGACTTATGTAAAAAATAAAATTCTGTTTTATATTAAGATCAGTTATGGGAGGTGGGGCTGTAGCTCAGTGGTAGAGCACTTGCCTAGCCTGCACTAGGCAGTGAGTTCAATCCCCAGCACCTCAAAAAGAAAAGAATACTTCAGTTATGATCAGGAAGAAGAAAGGAAGATGTGTCAGAAAAAAAGACTAAAGAAGAATAATTTGTATAAGTTTCTATATATCTCATGCTTGATAGTTTACATTCCATACTAATTCAGTTCCTTAGAATGTTATTGTGGTAAGGCAGTTATCACTTAAACCATTTTATAGCTGAAATGGGTGCTCAGAAAGGTGAATTGACTTATCCAGACTCACTTAGCTAGGGAAGTGACTGAGCTTGCACTCCAAAACAGGTCTACTCTCTGTAGGAGAGTGGAGTAGAAAGAAAGAAACTGGAAGAAAAAATATCAGTAGCTTTTGAGGTATTGCCTGTATTATTTTTCTTTATTCTACACTTTTATCTCCTATTCTTTCAAATATGAATCAGCTAATTGTTGATGAAGTCTTTACTGTACCATCCTAGAGACCCCATGCAAATAGACATCTAATAGCATAGAAACCATTTTCTGAGCCACAGAGGTAGCAACTAACGCAGTATTCCTACTATTATTCTAGACTATGGAACATTTTCTTCCTTCCCCTGACCCTCATTTAAAAAATTGGACAAGAAATATTTAGACTCAGCCAACTTCTGGGCAGAATCATTGCACTTGGCCTTGTTAGAAATACTAAGTGTATTACTGACTCTGGTTATCTAATCTATTTGTATCTAAAAGTCTCTTCAGTGTTTTTATTTGTCAGTTTTCAAAAATCTGCCTAATTCCAAACAGATTCCATGTAAAGACACAGTATGATGGGATATTTCCATGGTGTCTCATGGTATCAAGATATGAATGAAGATCTGAATGGTCTTTAAAGGACTGGCATGCTGCAATGAACCAGAAATCTCTTCAGATCTTTTTTGTTTTTGTTTTTAAGCCTATACCAAAGAATGAAAGACCTACATTTTATGGCTCTGTAAATTCATTTCAGCAGGAGTGAATAATTTGTTATAGCACTAAAAGGAAGAAAATGTGTAGTTGCTTTTTATTTATTTATTTATTTAGGTACTGAGGATTGAACCCAGGGGTACTTAACCACTGAGCCACATCCCCAGCCCTTTTTTTATTTTATTTATTTTTATTTTGAGACAGGGCCTTGCTAAGTTGCTTAGGGCCTTCTTAAATTGCCAAGGCTGGCTTTGAACCAACAATCCTCCTGCCTCAGCCTCCCAAATTGCTGAGATTTCAGGTGTGCACCACCATATCCAGCTTATAGTTGCCTTTTTTAAAAATATATTTTTAGTTGTACTTGGATACAGTGTCTTTATTTATTTTTATGTGGTGCCGAGGATCGAACCCAGTGCCTCACACATGCGAGGCAAGCGCTGTACCACTGAGCTACAGCCCCAGCCCTATAGTTGCTTTTCTTAACTAAAGTAATTCAGAATTTCAAAGAAAAGCCTATTTGTAGAGAAATTAAGCATGGTTTTATTTCTGGAAGTAAATATTTGCTTTTTTAAAAGTAAAAATTAATAAAACCTGAAGAAACAGAGTAGAGAATGAATTCATGGTATATTTTATATTTGTAGTATGTGTGTCAGATTCATTTTGATGTCTGGGGATGCCAATTTTGAATTATTATATATGCTTCTTACCCTTGAAAGGAAATAATAAAGTATGAAGGAAATAATGAGATGTTTTGGAAATTTTCTTACAGTATATAAAATATATTTAGATTATCAAAATAATTAAAGTGTGAAAAGGTAGGGAATGTCTGCATATTTAAGTTAAATATCTTCAGTTACATTGATATACATGGTACTTAAGAAACATATTCAGGGCTGGGGTTGTGGCTCAGCGGTAGAGCACTCACCTAGCACACATGAGGCCTGGGGTTTGATCATCAGCATCACATAAAAATAAGTAAATAAAATAAACATATATATATATATATATATATATATATATATATATATATATATATGAAACATATTCATCTGTACCGAATTTTCAACTTTATCCTAACATCTCTATGTGCTTTTACTATCACCCAATAACTAAAATTTAAGTGACACAAAGTTTGGCTCAAAATGCTTGAACACAGAAAATGAAGCAATGAAGAGGAAGGGAAATATGGATGAACAAATAGGAGCCAATTGAGGAGAATCCAAAATATAACTTCGAGCTTGCCCTTCACTGCCTTGAAACTAGAGGCTGAGCTTTTCTTCTCAGATGTTTTGTAAAATCTCTCTCTTTTAAAAAATGTTATTTTTTAGTTGTAGTTGGACACAATACCTTTATTCCATTCATTTATTTTTATGTGATGCTGAGGATCGAACACAGAGCCCTGCGTATGCTAGGCGAGTGCTCTACCGCTGAGCCACAACCCCAGCCGCTGTAAAATCTCTTTACCTTAACCTTTCAGCAAAACTAATAACATATTCTATGTTTAAATGAAAGAAATATTATTCCATCCACCACTGACTATGGAGCCACCCTCTGATGAAAATTTACTACAGTGGAATCATCATATGTAATAGATCAGGAAAAATATTTCAAGTGAATCAGAGTCAACATGTAGCTTTGTAGATGGAAGAGGAGTGTGTTTCTCAATAATTTGTTTCATTTTCTAGAAAAATTCTACAATACAGATGCTTTCCAACTTGTGATGGAGTCAAGTCAGATAAACCATCTTTAGGTGGTAAATGCCCTAATCTACTAACCACCCCACCATAGCTTAGCAACACAGTACACTGTAGAGTGTCAATTGTTTCCCCTGATGATTGCATGGTTGACTGGGAGCTGCAGCCCACAGTTGCTACCCAGCATTGTGAGAGAGAGTTGATTGTGCTGCATATTTCTAGGCTGGGAAAAGATCAAAATTTGAAGCTTGGTTTCTACCAAATGCATATTGTTTTCACACTGTTGTAAAGTTGAAAAATCATGAGTTGAACTGTTGTGAGCTTGGGTCATCTCTATATAATTTTGAAAAATACAACCACCAAAAAAAACACAATAATATAAATGATGGAATATTCATCTCAGTAATTAAAATCTGACATTTATGGATGCAAGTTACTAACTGCTTGATTTAGATATTGGAATTCAGATGTTGGGATTTATTATATTAAAATAATGTAGTATTTTATTTGTTTTTCTGTTACAGATGACTTGTTCAAAGTTCACAAGCTTAAGCCAAATCTGAAGTGGCGACAGGCTTTTGACAGCTACTTAAAAACTCTGCCTCCATACTATTTATTAGTATGTATTGATGTGTATATGTATTAACTGTGTCAATGATGATTCTTGTCATAAGAAATGTCAATGAATCAAAAGCTTTACCTTGCTATAAGATAGTTATCTTTTTTATTTATTTTATGAACATTTGTGTCATCACTGTCTTCTCAAACCATGTAAGAGTTTAGAGATGTCATGATAGCATAAAAGAGCACTGTTTTCTCTTTCTTGTTTCTTTTAACTGCCATGGCTATTTTTATGAAACACATCCATGTTTCTCTTATTAAAACTGATCTTATGAAATTATAATTTTGGAATGAAGAATAAATGGGTATTGATTCATGTGTTATACCAACTTCCCTTTTTAACTCTAGAAATTCTCAATCTTGGGGACTCCCTCTGAAAACAAAATGCTGAAGACATTGTAGTTGTTTATGTTCTAGGCACAGCAAGAAGTAGAGGCACTGTAAACATTACTTGGCCTCATTTTGGGTATTATAGTTGGAGACAAACACTCACAATGACTTTGAACTTGTAATGTAATCTAAATCCAGATTCTCAAACCTATTTCAGAGGTTGATGTGGTAACTTAAAACCAATTTTCTAGAGGTGAAAAGGCAGAATCTTCATTGGTGTCACTGGGAGGAGAAATTGGGGTGTGTTAGTATTGACCATGGCAGGAATGGGGTCCACAATAAAATGCAATGTGAAATGATTTTATGACTTTGGAATTAAGACTGAAAGCAATTTACTTATCTGAATTTGCTGTTACTTGCTCTTCTTATCCCACTCTCTTCTGATTTTTTTTTTTACTTTCTGCTCCTTACCTCTCTGCTATTTTCATTGCCACTTTTTAATGTTCCATGTTTGGTTTTATGTGCAGCGCCTTGACTTCTAAAAAATTAATCATGTCCCTTTGCCCCTTATAACTGAACTTTGAGTATTTTAAGATTTATTCTATTCTTACTGTTGTGTATTTTGTTTCCTTATAGCCATTAAAGAAAGCACTAAGGATGATGGGAGCTCCAAATCTGATATCAGATAATTTAGATTGTGGACTTAGTTACAGTGTTATCTCTTACCTTAAAAAACTCAGCCAACAGGTAGTATTGGTAAAAACAAACAAACAAAAATCCTTTGCCCTCAGAAGTGCATTTCCTTATTCTTTAGTATAATTGTAATTTTTCCAATTAAATGTATATATATATATATATATATCTACACTTTATTGGCTAGTAATAATGTGATTTTCTATGGCTTCTAGCTTCACCATTTAAACTGCAGTTAAGGGTCTGTCAGTATCGTTTGATGCTGTGCCATTTTTCCTTCTGCCTGCTGGTTTGTCCTATTCACAACTGGCTGATATTTTGTGGCCTAAGAGGGACAGAGGCTTAAAAGAATTCTCTCCTGGGTCACATTTTGTCTATTCTCAACCTAGTTTCTCCTTGAATCACTTTGGGCTAGAGCATCCCCCTTTTGTAGGTCAGCACACTGAGGCCTGGTATGGTGAAATGACTTGCTTGAAATTCATTTTTAGGCAGCATGTAAAGGACTTACACTCTCACATGCTACTAGCCCTTGGATAAACAGCTATCTGCTTTACCCTGGAGAAGGTGAAGATGAGACCAGTGTTCCTCAACCTGAAGAGTGGGATTCAGCCTCCTCTCTTCTTGCCCTCGAACTCCATCTGTTCCTTTAGACCCCACCTCATGTGCCATTCATTATTCACTTTGTCCCTTGGATGCCCCTCTCTATTAGTACCTCATCCTCCACTCACCCCTCCTTACCATATTTCTCACCTCTACCTAGCCCATTCTTATAGGATGTAAATGTTTAGGAACTATTGAGTTAGCACTCTACTACCATACAATTGTTCTATATTATGTGACAAATTCAGGCAGCAGTTTTACTGTCTTGTGCAAATTGTATGCCCAGAAAAATTAAAAAAAAAAAATTGTATGCCCAGGTAGGGAACAGTAGTAGCATTTGCAGTGGCTACAATGCTTCAAAACAAATAGATTTGGATGTTTGGCCTTTGCAAAAACCAAGAATAGTAAGCAAAGTGTCATTTTACTAAAGGACCGAAAGGAGTCCACAACTGGCATGCTGACACATCTCGCTAGGAACTGGCAAAAACTTCAATACTGTTAAGAGCTTACTGGTTCCTACTGGTCCAGTGTGCTCCAAAATGAAAAAAGAAAGTAAAAGCAAACCCAGAGATCTTATCTGCCAAGTGTCCCCCCAACCCCTTTTCCTCTCTGCTAAGTTTTTTTGTTTTTGTTGTAAATGTTTTGATTTGGTTATTTATTTATCTATCTATTGGTCCATTTATTTTTTTTTAACATGATGTTTACCTTAGGCCTTTAAGGCTGTGTCAGCAGGGTATGGCCACAAGGAAGAATAATGAACAGATTTGAAACTAATGCAAGTTCTTGGACCTTCTCGGGCACATTGATTATATATAGTTTTATAAATGAGCTTTCAAGAAAATTTAATGAAGTAGACCACTCATTTGCTCTTAAGTCATATTTAAGAATTTTTTAGAGCTAATAAACATAGACTCAGTTCCAACTATTAGGGAAGATCAATAAATATCCATGACCAAACCAAAATAAATCCAAAGTTTTGGGGGGACTTAATGAACATTGGTGGAATTTTACCTTTTAGAGAGAAAGATATCATAAATAATTTATAATATTTCTAATTACTAACTTAATTACTACTTGAATAACTATGTCATCAGTGCTCCTTGAACCATCTCAGATGTATATAGAACACAAAATATGTTAAATATCTTGCTACAGTGCATTCTCAAGCAAAATTAATCAAGATAGTATAAAATGTCTATTAAAAGAATTTTTCATCATAAATTAGTGAAAAACTTATTGAGTACACATTACAAATTATTGGTTTGGTAACATTTGTTAAATTAAGCATTACAATATAAGGCTTTTTATGTAGTCCAATGTTAAAAATAAACAGTTTAATTTTTTATATATAACGCCAGTCTATATAATCTGAATTTTAGCACTAATTTACATGTGTAAATAGAGTCTAAACCTTTATGTCTGTTTCTGAAACAAATATGTTGATGTAGACTAGATGCTTTAAAATTACTATGAATGAAATTCTTCCCCATGGTTTCCATTCTTTCTACAATTCAGCCATAGTTTTGACAATAGACAAGAGACAAAATATATTATTTGCCTTTCCAGCCCCCTCTTTGTTTGCTATGATAGTACAGAGAAGCACAGGAAAATGTTTAATTATCTGTTTTTCTGTAATTTGCAATTGAAGTTGTTCTTTGAGGTTCTTAAAGTATTATCTTTCTTAAGTAGTAAAAATGGACAGCAGTAAGGTAGATGTTTTCATAACATACTATGTACTTTCATTTTAGACCAAACTAGAATCAGAACGAATACTAGCATCAGTGGGGAAGAAACCTCCCCAGGAAACTGGTATCAAAGTGAAAAATCATTCTGGAGGTGGTGTGTCCTTGGTTCACAATAAGAATTTTAGAAAACTATTGAAAGAGATTACAGGGGAAACTGCACTGAGACTGACAGAATTGAATACCAAAGAATTTGCTGGCTTCCAAGTAGGGCTCTTAAACAAGGTAAATGGTGACATAAAGAGATTGTATACGTTTGAACTTGTCTGATACATTTATGTTATTCATATGGCTTTAGTTTTGAGATAATGACAGTCCTATTTTGGAGTTAGTAGTTATTAATGGAACAGTTTAGGAATTCTCCTGCTAGTGATGCCAAGATGGAATTAAATGTACAAGGAATGTTTGGGAAACAGCACCTGTGATAGGTAATGGAGAGAGCCTCCAGGCTGCCATGCTAATCTAGCATCTGTGAGAGAGCAGGTAGGAAGGAGGATTGAGAATGAAGAGACGCAGATGTTGGTGCAGCTTGGAGAAAGTCTGGGCCAGCCCAGTGGGGACATCTGGTATGAGCTTTTCCCATGGAGAAGATCCACTGGCAGAACTGGCCAGGCTCTACCATTTTCTCCATTCTTAGAAGGAGCAGGACCTCAGCTCAGTTCTGTAGCAGTTGCCTAAGTCCCTACAGCTGGACGCAGCTCACTGTACTCCCTTTGGAGTCAACCATTGCTGTCCTATGGGGAGATTCCAGCAGCCCACCTCTATAGCTGCCAAAAGACTATGTCTAGATTACAAGCAGTGGTCATGCAAGGTGACCACAGGAATAAATCTCAGGATTTTGAATTTAAAATGATATACTTGAAAAGGGATATTCCAGGGCTGGGTTTGTGGCTCAGTGGTAGAGTGCTTGTCTAGCATGCATGAGGCACTGGGTTCGATCCTCAGCACCACATAAATGTAAAATTAAGATATTGTGTCCACCTAAAACTAAAAATTAAATATTTATTTAAAAAATTAAAAAAAGAAAAAGAAAATGGATATTCCTAGTGACTTTAATAGTGTTGTGGGTGTCTTAGAATAATCAGAACAACAAATGGAAATTTTTCACTGTGAAAATTCTACGATAGTTAGTTAAAGTAAATATAGCTCTTTTCAAAGAGTTTAAGAGGTCAGGTATTACATTTCTAGATTAGAAGCCTCAGGAGTAATTGAAATTGTTTCATTTCAAACAGGATTTGAAGCCTCAGACATACAGAAATGCTTATGATATTCCACGAAGAGGTCTTTTGGACCAGTTGACCAGAATGAGATCCAATCTGCTGAAAACTCACAAGTTTATTGTTGGACAAGATGAAGGTAAATTGAACAGGGGAGTAATTTTCACTAGGAAAATGCCAGGCATGACTTTCATGAAATTTTCTCTCATTATGAGTAGTTTGTTGTAATAGTTTAATGTTTCCAAGTGCCTGTTTTCATGGAATCCCTACATCTGCTCAGACATAATTTATTTTTCTCAAGTTTAAAGGCAAGTGTGCATTCATCAGCACATACACCACACTCACCATACTTTGCCTCAAACAACCCCATTAGACAGATAGTGTGTTTATGCTCATAAAATGGGCATTAAAATTGACAATGAGCATTTTTGTAGTTTTCCCAGGTATAGCCCAAAGTAACAGAACTTAGGTCTGTCAGATTCTCCAATCTGCACACCCAGAACTCTACTACCCACTCTACCACTCAGCTTACTGTGATAAAGAGAATACCTCATTTCTAGAATAGTAATGAACTGGAGAATCATGATCGTTTGCAATTTCCCCTTACTCAGTTTTGTTCATTTTAAATGGGTTCATCCATCTAGAAAAATCAGCAAATCTTAAATTGGACAATCCTCAGAAACCCCTCACAAAATTTTGTGTAAGGGGACTTAGCTAGAAAGATAGCATACACATTTAATTAAATCCTCAGGTTATGGCCCACTAACCAAGATTCTCTGTATAATAAGAGAATGCCATGGAACCTCAGCTCTTTCAAATGTAGCAGATTCATAGTGTTTTGGGTTAAGATGAAAGGTATGAAGCAGGTCATCCATTCTTTTTTATTATTAATTTGTTCCTTTTAGGTATACATGACAGTAAAGTGTATTTTTACATATCGTACCTACATGGAGTAGAACTTATTCTAATTAGGATCCCATTCTTGTGGCTGTACATGATATGGAGTTTCACTGGTGTATTCATATACAAATATAGGAAAGTTATGTCCAATTCATTCTACTGTCTTTCCCATCCCCATCCTCTCTCCCTTCTCTTCATTCCCCTTTGTGTAATCCACTGGAAGAATAGAAGGTCAGCCCATTCTTAAACCTGGCTTGAAGGTAAGGGAGTTGTTCTCATCCTAGGGATATGAGCCTGAAGGCAGTAGTAATGATAGACTAAATAATGATTGGGATGAAGAGAGAAATGATTCAAGATCCCAGAATGCCAGATTCAAGATTTTTGACTTTATTGGATGCCAAGATGCACATTGTTAAACCCAATGATGATCAAGTCATCTCAAAAGGGACATGCACTCCAACTGTAGAGCATCAATTTAATTGCTGGTGATTTTTACAGATTCCCTTCATAGTGTTCCAGTTGCACAAATGGGTAACTATCAGGAATATCTAAAGACAGTGGCCTCCCCATTACGAGAGATTGATCCAGACCAACCAAAACGACTGCATACTTTTGGCAATCCATTTAAACAAGATAAGAAGGTAGGATGCCTATTTCTATTTCTGTCTAAATTGTGATACCCCTTTGATTCTCTTCTTTTTTGGTAAGAGGAATACAAATGAGAGATAAAATGTGATCCCAGGGCTCTTTGTGGATGGAAATGGGAGCCTCCCGATGCAAGAATGTGTTGAATGAGTAAAATAATACCTGCCATTTTTTAAGTACCTGGTAGGAGCTGGTGACTTTAATGATTACATTTTAATGCTTACAACTGTTTTGCAAGGCTTATATTGAGCAAGTTTCAAAGTTCTGTGACATAAGTAATAAGAACCAGGATTTGAACCCACATCTTTCTGGCTCCAGAGTCTATATTCAGTCCTACCACCACACATTAATTTCACCAATTATTTTATTTCATCTGTTTCCATGAATCAGGTAGCAGGCTCTAGCTAGATGGTGATGAGTGTGTCCCTTGAAATATGGAATACTAGGTGATGTGAACTTTTTTTGGGGTGATGTCAATTTTTTGGAATTATCATCTAGAGCTCTCAATGTGGTACATGTGTGATATATCAACTTGACCATTTTAGCATGAAAACAAATGAGATTATATATGTCCTCATGGAGGAGACCATTGCTATTAAGGCACAGACCAGGCAGTAATCTCTTTTATAATCTCTTTTATATCTCTGAACTTAAAAGTATTTCACCTCACCGCAAAGGTTAACTAATTAAAGTATGTTTTATCTTTCTGTACCTTAGTGTCCTTACGTAACATTGGGGATAATAATTGCACCTAACAGGCAGAGCTCTGTGAAATATTAAGCAAGTTAGTACATGCACACTGTTTAGAACATTACTGGGCATGTAATAAATCCTCCGTGAAAATGTTTTCCCCTTCCAGTATAGTATATGGGGGGTTCCTCTGGAAAAGTCATTTTTCATGATTTTGTTCAAATTATAGGGTACATACTCTTAGGTTATTCTTCTATATTTCTGGCTCTCATCCTTCATCTACCCTCAAGAGCAAAAAGTCTCCTTGCTACTTTGCTAGCACCAAGGTGAACGTATTTGAATTCATATTGGAAGTTCTGGTTGGAAAAATCACTTTTTCCATCTATCTGCCTTTCCTAATCTAACTGTAGCATAATCTAACTGTACAATGATAATCAGTGTTTCTTAATGATTAGTTTTAAGCACAAAAGCACCAAAAGGAGAACTTACTGGGGTAGGGGTGGGCAGGTATGCAAAGTGGTTTATACTTCTCCAAAAAGGTAACTATGAGTTTATCCCATTTTGTTTGGTCAGAACTGCTCATTCCTGAAGCTTTCTGATTATTATTATAGCATGTTTGGCCTTGGACAACACCTTGTATGTTAGTTTCCTCTTCGTTCCACTTAGACTGGATTAAAATTGAGTCATTTTCTGAGAATAGAGTTGATAAATATTTGGCCTGTGTTTATACTTATGTAAAGTAATGTAATGTGTAATTGATTGATTGTATATGTATAAGACAAGTGTTTGCAGTTTTTTGATAGTGGAATCTTTGTTTTCAATAGAATATGTTTGTTAATGTCTTTTAGGGAATGATGATTGATGAAGCAGATGAGTTTGTAGCAGGGCCACAGAACAAAGTGAAACGTCCTGGAGAACTCAACAGTCCTATGTCATCTAAGAGAAGGCGGAGTATGTCCCTGCAGTTGAGGAAACCACAAACACCGCCTACTGTAACTAACCATGTGGGCGGAAAGGGACCACTCTCAGCCTCGTGGTTCCCATCTTATCCAAACCTCATAAAACCCACCCTTGTACATCCAGGTATAGAGTAGTGGTTGTGATTTCCTTATGGCTCCTAGAGGACTAAGACGCTAAACAGTTTTATTTTCTTTTGTATTCCTTTTTTTATGTTTAGTTGTTGTTTATTAAGTAAGTCATTTATTAAACCATCTATGTGGTAGGTGCAAAAGACCCCATGGGGAGCAGACAACCTGTTTCAAGGATCTTAGTATATATGAGGAGAAGAGATTCATAATAACACAGCAATTAACACATGGCATGGACATAGTAATTACTAATTAATTCATAACTTAGTAAGTAAATAAATAACAGTAATTAATAGAGAGATGGAGAGTTATGGGCATGTTCATTGTAGCCATTTGGAGCAGCTTCAAGGGTTGGGACAAAGTAGGTTTCCAAGGCAGTCGGAGTGAATTGGCTAGAGCGTGAATCTACACTTGCTCCCTGTGCTGTCACCTCCTGTTCATGCTCTAGCCAAGTACAGCATGGTGTCTGCCACCTTGACCCCACTAAAACCCTTCTCAGGCTCACCAGTGTCTGCTGCACCTTGCCATTACCTCTCAACAGCATTTGGACACCGTTGTCCATTCCCTTCTCCGTGAAGACCTTCATGAGTTCCCAGATACCTCGTTTTCTTTTCCCTTTAAAAATGGCTCTTTCCATCCTTTTTCTGTGTTTTCCCCCCTTTCCTACCTCTAGAAATTGGAGGGCCTCAAAGCTCAATTCCAGGGCATCTTCTCTTCACTGTGTTTTCTCCCTGGGTGATCCCATGCAGTCTGGTGGCTATTAAATTGATTTAGATTTCAACAACTTCAATATTTATACCTCTAGATGAGAGCTTGCTCCTTAGCTCCAGATTCTTATTTTACCATGGACATGGGTTCTCCACTTAGGTATCTAATAGACATATAAAACTCAATAGGTTGCATGTGTTTCAACTAGGCTCCCAACCTTTCCCCTCTTCAAAATAACTCTGCTGACATCCTTATGCATAGCAATTAATGACTTCATCCAGTGACATGCTGGTAAAGCTACAGCACCTGTGGGGACTGAGATGGCAGAGAAACTCTATATAGCATTTTCAGATTTCTCTAGAGTAAATAATGCTAATAGTATTAATGCCAGAATAGCAATCTGAGACTATTGAATTAGAGTCAGGAAGAATTGGGCGCAATTCCCTCTCAAGAGCAGTAGAAAACTGGCTCATTCATACCACTGGCATTGTTATTTACTCAGTAGTTCAGGTTACAAACTTTAGAGTCAGTCTGATTTATTATTTTATTCTTCTCTTACTTCCATCAATTTATCAAATCCAGGAACTTGACATTTAATATAATCCCTGTACTCTACCATTTTTTCTATTCCATGACTCTACACTACCATGATCTCTCACCATGCTACTATGATAGCTTCTTTTCTGATCTCCCTGATTCCTGTTCTTTTATTTCTTATTGTTTGTGCTTTTGGTAGTATGGTCATTTTGATAATATTCTGCCTATCCAAGAGCAAGGTAAATCTTTCCATCTTCTAAGATTTTCTTTGATTTCTTTCTTTAGGGCTCTGTAGTTTTCATTGTATAGATCTTTCATCTCTTTTGTTAAGTTGATTCCCAAATATTTTATTTTTTTTAGGCTATTGTAAATAGGGTAGTTTTCCTCATTTCCCTGTCATAGGATATGTCATTGATATAAGAAATGCCTTTGATTTATGGGTGTTGATTTTATATTCTGCTACTTTGCTGAATTCATTTACTAGTTCTAGAAGTTTTCTGGTGGAGCTTTTTGGGTCTTCTAGGTATAGAATCATATCATCAGCAAATAGTGCTAAATTAAGTTCTTATTTTCCTATACGTATCCCATTAATTTTTTTCATCTAATTGCTCTGGCCAGTGTTTCAAGAACTATCTTAGATAGAAGTGATGAGAGAGGGCATCCCTGTTTGTACTTGGGATGGAACCCAGGGATGCTTAACCACTGAGCCACATCCTCAACCCTTTTTTGTATTTTATTTAGAGACAGGATCTTGCTACCTTGCTTAGGGCCTCACAAAGTTGCTGAGGCTGACTTTGAACTCGTGATATTTCTGACTCAGTCTCCTGAGTTGCTGGGATTATAGGTGTGCACCACAGTGGCACTCAGGTTCTGATTCACATTCTTGCTCCTAACTCACTCCTGGCCCTGAATCCAGAGTGATAGTGTCAGCAGGTAAATGGGTCCATGCCATGCCTATTCTGGAAGTGCATCCTCCACTTTCCCAAGCACTTAGAACACACCCTGAACTCCTGACTGTGGGTCACAGGCTCTGCACAGCTTCACCTGGAGGCAGGCAGCCTCTTCCTCCACTCCATGGTCCTCAGCAGGTCCCCCTCTGACCCTCACCCTTACTGCAGCCTGAACTGTCCCTCTAAATCTGCACAAGCCTGCTCTGTCTCCTCCTCAGGCTCTGCTCAGAGGACACCACCCAGAAGGCCCTGCCACCACCCTCAGCCCTGGAGGCCCCTCTGCTGCTCCCTCCCACTCCCCTGCCCACATCTCCCCCAACAGGAATCCAGCTGGGATGGCCTGTTGCTCTCCATGCACTTCCTCTCTGACTTCCCATCTCGGTGTAGGTTCCATCAGGGCAGGTGCAGTTTCTGTCTGCTTCAGTGATGATCCATCTCTTGGGATAGCAAAAGATGAGTAAAAGATATGTCAGGCTTGGAGTAAAAAGAAACCCACTTTGACACAGAAGGGACGAAGGATGAGGACAATGAGATAGATAGATAGACAGACAGACAGACATAGATAGATAGATAGATTGATTTGGGGTGATGGAGTAGAGAGAGCATATTCAGCCCCAATGTATTTTCTCAGAATATTTTAGATAGAAGTGAGGCAGAATTGTCTATTCATGTTACCTGGCTTAAAGCTCAGGTAACAGCTAGCTCAGGCAATGCATGGTAGTTTATATGTGACTTTGAGAAATCATGTCATCAAGTGAGACTTGGTGCTTTTTGCTTTGTAAAGAGTAATAGGATGGCACTAAATCATGAGTACCAGAGACTTCCCAATGTTTGTTGTGCTATCTCAGTTTCTACATGTTTTCATAGTAGCAAGAGGGAAAAAGGTGATCATGTAGTATTATTTTCCTGAGCTCAGTGTGAGGGGTTTCAGATTTCCACCTGGTACATATTTCTGCTCTGTGAAGTAAATAACTTCCTTGAAACTTAGAAGCACAGGGATGTACCTGTGGGATTGACATAATGCAACTACCTCATAGCTCAACTTCTTAAATTGCTTTCCAGATGCCACTGTCATTCATGATGTGCATGAAGAGAAGATGGAAAATGGGCAAACCCCACCTGATGGCTTCTTGTCAAAATCTGCTCCAGCAGAGCTTATGAACACAACAGGAGATGGTGTCCCACCCAGCCAATTAGATTCTCTGTCTGATGACTTCACTAGTCTCAAGAGAGATGGACCATTTCACAAACTTGGTAATAACGTACTTAGAGGAGGAGCCCCAAACTGCAATCTCTCCGTGGATGACCAAAAAATTGCAGTAGTATCTACTTTGGGAACTGCACCAAATGCATTGCAGATCACTCCTGCAATGGCACAAGGAATCAATGCTGATATCAAACATCAATTAATGAAAGAAGTTCGAAAGTTTGGACGAAGTAAGTAGGACCATCTATCAATAATGTAACAGTAAAACAGGCGGTACCTCTAATTCTATGATTCTGAAAAGATCCAAACCACCTCTTGATGTGCATTTTTGGGCAATATTGGGTTCTCACATAATTTAATGCGGTTCCTTCTGACTTTAAAAAGATATAATCACCTTTCTTCTTGCTTCTTGTAATAGTTCCCTTTTGCTGCTATAACAAATTATTTTGTTTATTACATCATGTATCATTGAGTTATTTAAAACAACACAAATTTATTATCTGATAGTTTAAGAAGTTAGAATTCTGAAGATACTTTCACTAGGCTAATATGAAGGTATTGGTAGGCCAGTGTTCTGAGGGCTCTGGCAAGAATCTTTTCCAACTTCCAAAGGCTGCCTGTATTCCTTGGTTCTTAGCCCTTTTCCTCATCTTTGAGTCAACAGAATTATCACTTTTTCTTCTCTCTAACCACTACTTCTGTCCTTCCATCTTTCTTCTCTCTGGCATTTACTGTCCCACCTTATAAGGATATTTGTGTGATTACATTGGACCTGCACATAAAAACCTGGATGATTTCCCCATCTCAACATCCTTGACTTAATTTTATCTGCAAATAACGTTTATTAGGTAACATTAAAAGTAACACTTTCACAGGCTCCAGGGATTAGGGCAATTTGAGGGAGCCATTTTTTAGCCTTCCACATTTGGTAGTGTTTGCAAGAGTTTCTTTAGTAGATACAAGCAAATATTTTCATTTGAGTGTTTAAAATACCCATGAAGAATGATTACTGAGGATGAATCATGATTCAATACTATATATTATTCATATTTTTAAAAATACTAAAGTTTTTTAAATCTCTTCAGAGTATGAAAGAATCTTCATTTTGCTTGAAAAAGTTCAAGGACCTCTGGAGATAAAGAAGCAGTTTGTTGAATTTACCATCAAGGAAGCTGCAAGGTGAGTATAAACAAGCTCTTCAGAGTATGTTTTGTTTTAGTTTTGTTTTAGCAGCATGGCCCAATGCAAGACAGAGAAGAATAGGCTTTGCCTTGATTTTCGCAAACTCTGGTCCTAAGTCATAGTTAAGGCTGTCTCTAGAGGTATTTAGATTGATGTTATCTGTATCCAACTCATTCATTACTCTAGACTAATGTGAGCTTGGGCCTTCAGCTGGCACTCATTGTATTTGGTAAATCATATCTTCCTGTAAGGACAAATTGTATATCCCCCTGTAGGTGGAAAGTTCTGCTTTGTATCCCATTTGGTACCTTCCACACCATAAGTGCTCTAAGTATCATTTAGTTAATAAAATTTTCTCTTTTTTCAGGTTTAAAAGACGAGTCTTAATTCAGCAACTTGAGAAGGTGCTAGAAAAAATAGATTCTCATCACCTTCTCAACAATGTGAATCACATCAACAGCAGATCATCAAGTTAATGCAGAGACAAGTGAAAAAAAAAGATAAGATTTCTGAACTGTAGGACTGGTCAGGATATTGTTGAAGCCTCAAAGAGTCTAAGAGAAAGTGGTAGAGCTTTAAATTTTATGATTATCTGGCAGTAAATGTTGGACTTTTGCCTTAAAAATTTTTGTGAAAAGCATCATTTTTTAAAATTTTCTTGTTTATTTTCCCAAATTAAAGGAAAGTGGTGGTGTTAATTCAGTAGGCTAACTTCATAAAACCCTGCTGTCCCTACCACAGGCAATAAGGGAATCACTCATTTAAACTGCCATTTCAGGCATTTTCAAAGTAATGAGGGGCTACCTGCAAGTGGAACACCACTTGATGTTCTTACAATGTCTTTTAGAAAGAATAAGCTTACAGAATCCAAGTATTAGTCATGTGTGTGCTAAACAGAACTTTCAACAATTCCTAGTTGTGCCTTTTAAACCATGCAATATTTTGGAAAGTTTGAATCAAAGAGTAAGAAGCTGCTATTTGGGTAACTTATTTCTCTGTGGGAAGGGGCAGGGAGAGTCACCAAACAATCTACCTCCAACTCTCTTGTATTTTGTCTAAAGACATTACAAAGTGCACCTGAGGCTGCCCTATGCTCTGGCTTTTGTTCTTGCATGTGATAACAGAACATCTTCAGGTGGACTTAAGTGCTTTGGAAGCACTAAAAGAAAAAAAAATGTGTATGTGTCCTTTAATGTTTATATAAAAGTTTATATGGAACAGTATTGTTATGTTTGTATTATTTGTAAAAATTTAAGTATTCAAAGAGATTTTTGACTTTGCATATAAAAAAATTAATCATTTTATTGATTTTCACAGTTTATTGATGATAGAGAAATTTCTAGTGGTGTGATTCTTGTGTCATTTTCAGAAAAGTGCTTACTATTCAATGATTAAGATATTAACATAGGCTTTAAGCTTCCAAATATCACTCACAGGACTGAGTGATGTTAGTGAAAGTACTGGGGAGGCCAGTCTCTCCTAAGAAACACTGAAGAGGAAAAACTGTCAGAATCAAGTTTATTGAATTTCTAGAATATAAGTCAAAAGTTTATAGCAACCAAGCAAATGCTATATCATGAGAAAAACCATTGAGTATGATAAGAACTTTGATGCATTTCAGTTTACCCTTGTCCATGCCTCCCCCTCCCCGCCCCCACCATGGCATGGCAGTGATTTTGAAGATGGCAGCCTGCATTCCAAGTATTGGGCTCCCGTTTCTGGAGGGAGTGTATGTTTGCACCTGTCTGGAGGACTCCCTAAACTGACGAAAAGGGATTAATTGCCTTTGTTTTACATAACTCCAAAGTCTCTCAGCATCTATGTGGAGGATATTTCTCAAAAATATTTCAAGGCAGACGAATAAGCTGCAGAAAATAATATGGAAAAAGGCTGGGAGGAAATTGGGGGTTATATGACACTTTAGAGAATTAGGGCTTTAAAATTCTCCCACATATACCTGGAAATCTAGGAAACCATATACATACCCAAAGTTAGAACTCCTATCTATAAAAGACCTGAGAGCACAGATTTCACCTCTGTCTGATCTTTAGACCCAGTTCAAGCAGGAAATGAAGGCTAAAATAAGGCAAAGTTGTAAACAACCTGTTTAAGTGTTGAAGAAGCATCCCAATAGACAGCTAATATACTATCACTTGGAGAATATTTTTTTTTCTTTTTATTCCAGGTTCATGAGAAAACCTTTTGAACTACTAGATGACCTCCAAGTTATAGGAACAAAGACTTCAGAGACTATACATGACAAAGAATATAGTCCTTAAAAAGAGTTTAGAGAAGTTAATAAATAATTGACAAAATAGGGATGGGGCTGTGGCTCATTGGTAGAGTGCCTGCCTCGCACATGTGAGGCACTGGGTTCGATCCTTAGCACCACATAAAAAATAAAGATATTGTGTCCAACTACAACTAAAAAAATATTTTAAAAAATTGCTGAGAGCCACAGCCGAGTCGGAATGATGCATGGCATTTTTGCCAGAAGTGAGTAGTTGAGAGGTGACGCCAGCGAGCCATTGAGATGATGATGGTTATGTTAAGCTGTGTATTCAATTGTATTTTAGACCCCTGCTGTCCGCCTACTTTGGAGTTCTCATGCTACTTTGGAGTTCTCCTGGGGATTCCTGGAGAGTTCGAGTTGGTTGGGGAAGTGCCGGAGGAGGGATTTCTGGTTGGTGGTTCCTGGATGGGCTGTGTGGGTGGTGTTCGAGGGAGTTCGGATAATAAAGGAGTTTCTGTTTTGAACCTACAAGTGACTCGTGGTGGCTCGGTTATTTTGTGCTCAGCCAGACTGTGGCAAGAAATAAGACAAAATAACCCACAAGTAAACAATAAACCCTGGGAGGAGTCAGAATTTCTAGGGTCATTATATCATAATATTAAAAAAGGCCAGTTTTTAATAAAAAAAAAATGTGAGGTTTGCAGAGAAAAAAAGTATGGACCAATAATGAGGGAGATAAGGGGCTGGGATTGTGGCTCAGTGGTAGCATGCTTGCCTAGTATCTGTGAGGCACTGGGTTTGATTCTTAGCACCACATACAAATAAATAAAATAAAGGTCCATCAACAACTAAAAATATTTTAAAAACAATGGGGGAGAGGAAGAAATTAACACAAAGTATCCCTCAGAAGGCATGGGAATTGAACTCAATAAACAAATACTTTAAACAAATGTCTTTACTGTCTTCAATATGATTGAAGAGCTAAGGGAAACCCTGCATAAACACCAAACAACCAGGAGAATGATGAACAAAGCAAAATGAATAAAGGGAACCAAATAAAAATTATGGACCTGGAATATACAATAATTGAGATGGAAAATTCTCTCAGAGGGTTCTATAGCAGATATGAGCAGACAGAAGAAAGACTCAGAAATTATCCAGCATGAGAAGCATAAAGAAAACAGAAATTCAACAACAAATAGAACCTAAGAAACTTAGCCCAAATAACATCATCAAGCATGGAATGAAAGATGGGGGGAAATAATTTTAAGTAAATGTTGGCCTCGAACTCCCAGGTTTAATAATATACATGAATCCATATACCCAAGGAGCTCAAAGAACTGCATTGGAGACAAACTGAGAGATATTATAATCAAAATGTTCAAAGACAAAGAGACTCCTGAAGGCAGCCAGAGAGAAAACACCTGTCATAACAAGAGATCAACACCAAGATTAACAGCTAATTTCTTATCAGAAGCATGGGAGGTCAGAAGGTAATATAATGATGTTTAAAATTCTAAAAATGGGGCTGAGGGTGTAGCTCAGTGGTAGAGCACTTGCCTAGCAAGAATGAGACCCAGGATTGATTCCTAGCACTGAAAACAAAACAAAACAAAACACACACACACACACACACACACACACACACACAAAGACAAAAAAAAGACAAAAAAAAGAAAACCTCAACCAAGTTGTCTGTCCTGGGCCAAAGTAAACTTCAAAGAGGAAGGAGAAATTAAGACATTATCAGAAAAACAAAGGTAGTTCATTACTAGTGGACTTTCCCTACGAGAAAGGGATTTTGATTAGGGCTGTGGGGAGGAGACAATGTAGAGTTGTTGCTGATGGTTACATAGTTTATGCTTGAGTGATGAAAAAGTTGGAAATAGGCATTGGTGATGTTTGCATAGCATTGTGAATGTAATCAAAGGCACTGAATTGTATGCTTAAAATTGGTTAAAATAGCAAATTTTAGATTATATATTTCAACCAATTTTTTAAAACATTAACTAGGTAATCTACCAAAAGGCATTGAATCATATACTTCAAATGGCTGAATTACTGGATGTGAATCATGTCTCAAAAAAGTTGTTTGCTAAAGATTAGTAAAATGGTTAAAAAGGATATGATTCAACTACATGCTATGTAAAAGAGACTCACTGTAGATTTGAAGCCTCAAGTAGAGAGAAACTGAAAGGATTAAAAAAAAATCCACACAAATAACTGAAAATGAGATGGGTGGCTATACTAATATCATAAAAAAAAACCTTGAAGTAAAAAATTGCTACAAGAGACAAAAAGGGATGTTATATATTGATAAACAGGTTAATCCATCAAGAAAATGTAAAAATTATAAACATCTACTCAAAAGAGAGTGTCAGAATAAATGAAGCAAAAATTGACAGATTGAAGAGAGAAATACACTGTTCTATAATATTGTTGGGACTTCAAGAATAGATAGAACAACTAGTGAAAAGACAAATAAAGAAATAGAAGACTTGAATAATAGTATAACCAATTATATCTAACAGATACCTGTAAAACAATCCACCCAACAAAAATCAATTACTCATTTTTCTAAACTCATGGAGTATTCTTTAGGATTGATATATTAGGCCACAAAACAAGTAAAAACAAATTTTAAAATATTGAAAAAGTACCTTATTTGATTAAAAGAGAGTCAAACTAAAAATCAAGAGCAGTTGGACACTTACCTCATCATACAAAAAAAATAACTCAAAATGGATCAATACCAATACCTAAACATTAGAACTAAAACCATAAAACTCTTAGGATGAAAACTTTGGAGTAAATGTTAATACCCTTGAATTTGGCAATGATTTCTCAAATAGGACATCAAAGCCCAAGCAAAAGAAGAAAAATGGAGATCATTTGATTTTAACAAAGGTAGAAACATTTTTGCATCAAAAAAATGTTAGTTTTTTTTTTTTTTTTTGTATCAAGAGAGTGAAAGACAACCCACAGGATGGGAGAAAATACTTGCAATGCATACATATGATAAGGATCAAGCATTAATAATATTTAAAAAACTCTTCCAACTCACAACAAAAAGATGACCCAATGTATCACAGGCAAAGAAGATGAAGAAAACCTCAGTGAATATATAAAATTGACAAACATGAAAGACGCACAAAATCTTTAGTAATTAGGGATAATCATATCAAAATTACAACAAGGTAGAAGCTCACATATAATGACCATAATTTTTTTTAAAAAATTTTGTTGTTGTTAATGTACCTTTATTTTATTTATTTATATGTGGTGCTGAGAATAGAACCCAGTGCCTCACACATGCCAGGCAAGTGCTCTACCTCTGAGCTCCAGCCCCAGCCCCAATTGGAATCCTCATACACTCCTGCTTAGAAAATAAATGGTAAAGCCCCCTGGGACAAAAATTTTGATACTTAGTTTTAAGTTATACATAGGGTCCCTATATGACCCAGAAATTCTATTCCAACATATGTTTTCTAAAGACTTGAAAAACAGGTGCACACAAAGTTCTTTTCACAATTGATAATAGCGCTCTTCACAAAATCAAAAAGGTAGAAACAGTACAAATGTCTTGCAATGGGTGATTAGATAAACATAATGTGATATATACTTACAACGGGATAGCACGTGGTCATAAAAGGAAATAAAGTATTTATACATGCCACAGAGTAGGTGAATATTAAATATATTATGCTAGTCAAAGAAGACAATCAAAATAGGGCACAAGTTGTGATTCCATTTGTGTTAAAATATAAAGAATTGGCAAATCTACAGAGAAAGTGGGAGGGATGGTGGACGGGGAGCCACTGTTGCATAAAAACAAGGCAAACACTGGCATATATCAGTCATAAATATCACTGGTAAAAATACTGGTAAATATCAGCTGAGTAAATGTTTTCCCCAGGGACGGGCGCCCTCCTGTGGTCCCAGCTTCTCCCTGGGCTGAGGTGGAAGGAGTTCCACAACAGCCTGGGCAACACAGTGAGACCCGGACTCACAGAGTAAAAACAAAACACAGGTTTTCAGAACCCTAAAATTAACCAGACGCTTGCAACCACAGGAAGAGCCTTTCTTCAGCCCAAAAGGTGGAATCTCAACATGGCCAGCAAGCTCTGTGGTGTTTCAACTTGCCCCATCGCCATCCCCCACCCTCGCCTCCACAGAAGCCTTGAAACCAGCAATCTTACTCTGTGGGAGCTCAGGACTGGAGCATCTGTCTGCCACTGGAGGGGCGGCTGCCCTCAGATCTCTATTCCGACCCAATTGTCACTGCTCCACATGCAGGACGACCCCTGAAAAGCGCCATTCTCAAGGCTGTTCCAGAGAACTCGCTGGGTGGGAACAGCTTCACCTGCCACCTGCAGGTGCGAGCTGGGAACCCCTGGAGCATAGTGGTCCACACAAGAAAGACAGTGGCCGTCATCGTCTCACTTGGACCCTATTAGGATTGCTTCTAACATTGTGCATGGGAATAATGCGTACCTTTGGTTCTGGGGAGCGTGCTTCCCAACAAGTCCTTTATTTTTTGAAGCTTCAGTTTTTTTTTTTTTATATCGTATTATTTATTTGTTTATTTATTTGTGTGCCGGGGATCGAACCCAGTGCCTCGCACAGGCTCCACTAGTGCTGTAGCACTGAGCTACAATCCTAGAATCCCAGCCCCTCCCCCCCCTTTTTTTTTTTTTTTCCGTTTCAGGAATTGAATCCCAGGCTGCTTTCCCACTGGGCCACATCACCAGCCCCCTCCCCTTTAAGATTTTATCTGGAGACAGTTCTCCCTAACTACCTCTTGGCCTTGTTAAATTGGTGCAGCGGGCTTTGAATTTGCAATCCTCCTGCCTCAGCTTCCTGAGCCCCTGACATCACAGGTGTGCGCGATGCACCGGGCTCGCACAAATGCTTTATTTTTTTCCTCACGGGGAGTCGTGGGATTTGATCCTACGAATTTTTTACCCGGTAGGAAGATCCACCAGCGTCTTCCGTCAAGTCGGGTGGCACTTGCACTACCGGTCGGCTCCAAATTTACGCTTTTATCCCGCTCAGCTGAAGAGGTACTGGTTCCTTTGGAGATGTTTCTTGTGGCAGTTGTCAGGGAAGGTTGTGCCTGGAGGGCGCCAGAGACAGGGAAAGGGAAAGTGGCGCCCCCCCCCCCCCGTTTTCTGTGGCTGACACAGAGGGTCTGCTGGTCACCGGGTTTGTCCCCCACGGAGCTCTGGGCACTGCAGGCGGCTCCCCCAGGACCCGGCTGGGCAGGGCGCAGAGGCCAGCCACACTCTGGTTCCAGCGACTTCCCTGGGTCTCCCTTGGCAGGCATGTACCAGATGCTTCCGGAAAAACACCCCCCATTGACCCGCAGATGCCCCAGGGGGCGCATTCTAGAAAGCCCACTGCGAGGGTGGGGGGGTGTGCCCCAACCTCACTGCCCTTTGGGGAGGTGCTTCATCCCAGGCTCCCTTACAAGGTCGGCATTTCAGCTGTGGAGCGGCCACTTTTCCTGGGGTGCTGTCCTTCAGCCCAGG